GTGTGTGTGTGTGTGTGTGTGTGTGTGTGTGTGTGTGTGTGTGTGTGTGTGTGTGTGTGTGTGTGTGTGCGTGTGCGTGTGTGTGGCCATGTTTAGTTTAATTCCCACCTTCGTGTTACAACGACTCAAACTAATTGACCAGCCGCTGCTATACATAAACATGCATATTTATATGTATATATATAAATGACACGAATTTCGCCGGAACTTATTATTGGCACAAATCGGCGCCCACCGGCCGTATTTTAGGCCACGGTGAAAGTAAATATAGGCTACCATATATGCCTTTTACGGGCGAAGTATGTGTGGGGCTCATACACGCAGAGTTGTTACACGTGTGTTGTGTGTGTGTGGGAGGGGGGGGGGCGCCACACAGTAAGAGCTCCAAGCGCATGGTGGAGTCGTTGACTTACTTATATTAGTAGTGATGCGTCAGCTTAACAAAGCGTGCTACTGTCCTGCAGGCGTCTTTACACAGCGGGCCATAAACACAGCTAGGCCACATTCTCGTTATATTCCGCTTTTCGCATTTTCTCTCTCTGTCTCTCTCTGTCTCTCTCTCTCTCTCTCTATCTCTCTCTCTNGAGAGAGAGAGAGAGAGAGAGAGAGAGAGAGAGAGAGAGAGAGAGAGAGAGAGAGAGAGAGAGAGAGAGAGAGAGAGAGAGCGAGAGAGCGCGCGCGAGCGAGAAATATGGAAGCAGCTTGCGGCGCTAGCTGCTATTAGAGATGTAGCTTTCGATCGGTGACGTCCGCCTTTAACGCGTCCGCTCGGTCGCTCGCTTAGCTAAGGTGCGAGAAGGGAATATTAGCAGCAGATAGAGAGAGAGTGCACGTTACTGCGCCACGATGTGATGGTGGGTGGCGAGAGTGCGTGTTACCGCACCGATCTGTATCAGTGGAGGTGGGGTGGTAACGAGATTGCTATTGCTTGGCAATAGTGATGTTGCGTGATACACTGATCTGTTTAATGAGTGATGATAGTGCACGTTACCGCACCATCCTATATCATAAAAAAATTATGTTGCGTGATACACTGATCTGTGTGAGGAGTGATGATAGTACATGTTACCGCACCATCCTATATCATACAAAATGATGTTGCATGATACACTGATCTGTGTGATGAGTGATGATAGTGCATGTTACCGCACCGTCCTATATCATGAGAGTTGACGATATGTGCTACTGCACCAGCTTTTACAATGAGGGATGAGAGTGTGTGTCTGTATGTCCCTGTCTCATCGGCTCAACAGTGCATGTTACCGCACCG